GATCCTCCCACCTCAGTCTCCTGAGTAGCTAGGACTACAGGCGTGTACCATCACACCTGGCTTGCTATTTTTTTGGCGTGGGGGTTGGGTAGTGATGGGGTTCTCACTGTGTTGTCCAGGCATCTTGAACTCCTGGGCTCAAGTGATCCTCCTGCCTCAGTTTCCCTAAGTGCTGGGATTACATACATGAGCCACCATGCCCGACCATGATTTTAGAATGAATTGTGTAGGAGGTATCCGTTCATTCAGCAGATTTGAGTGATTATTGTGTGCTAGATATTGGGGGAAATGCAATGTCTAATAAGGCATGGTTTCTGATCTCAAGAAATTCACCTTCTAGTAAGGTCAAAGATTTACAAATGCAATTATACAGGACAATTCTATATAATAGCAGTAAGTGCATAAATCACCTTAAGTTTTCACAGAGAAAGAAGCATCTGACCTGAGTCTTGGATAAATGGGAATGTGCAAGATGGAGAAGTAGGAAATAGTTCTTCTAAACAGTTAAAACAGCGTATGTAAATACACTAGGCATGAGAGGACAAAGTTTACTGCTGACTGCTAGACACATCAGTATTATTAGAGCAAAAAATGAGAGCAAGGGCATTCTGTGGTTTGGGCTGGGGTCTCAAAATGCCTCTTTCTCTGTAGCTCAAGTAGCATCCTTTACCTTCAGTTATCCTCAAGTAGAAAAAAACAAACAAATTTTGACATAAAGGGGATGTCTGGTTGAAAAAGAGATCTCAGTGCTGGTATAGTTGCTAGTTTAATAGTCCTTTTTACTTGGCTGCTCCTTGTTCTTATATTGTACATATATGGCTTACTTAACCACACAGTATAAAATCACTGAAAGAAAGAAGTCTCGATATGAAATGCATATAATTTGCTTTTTGACTTTAACAAGTTCCTCATCCCTTCCTTTGCCCAAAATGGCAGGGAGGTGTCTAACTGATCTTGTTCAGCCAAACAATTCATCATTTCATAGTTTCTAATAGCTTGTGCCCAGAAGCCTTATATGAACCACGTTATTTTCTCAGAAAGAAGGAATGTTAGATAGAAATAAAATATTCTGAATTAGCCAGGCATGGTGGTGCACACCTGTAATCCCAGCTACTTGGGAGGCTGAGGCAGGAGAATTGCTTGAATCCAGGAGGAGGAGGTTGCAGTGAACTGAGATAGCGCCACTGCACTCCAGCCTGGGCAATGGAGCGAGACTGTGTCTCAAAAAAAGAAATAAAATATTCTAGATGTTTTACTTTTTAGTATTTCCTTCTCTGTATTCTAAAATTAATAAAACTCTCCATCCCTTTCTAGACCTTTCTGTTCCTGAAGCTGCATGTTTTAGAGCACTCCATTTAAAACAGCCATGAATAAATTTATGTTTCACAATCTGAGATGGAATTCATCTTGTTTCTCACAGTAAACTCAAGCATATTTCAAACTATAAAGACCTATATCAGGGTGTAAAATATAACAACATTTAGCCTATAGAAGAAAAACTTGAACAGAATGAAAAACTCCATGTGTTTGTCGATTTTGGCTCCATGTTAGCCTCTTACTTTGTAGCCAATAAGATACATCTTATCTATATAACTGTACTGTTTTTCTTTTGTGTTCTTGAGTTGGCCTATATCCTGAGATAAATAATTCCTGTGGCAAGCTCTCGTGAGGCCATGGAATTGAATTTTTTTTTTTTTTTTTTTTGAGATGGAGTCTTGCTTCATTGCCCAGGCTGGAATGCAATGGTGCAATCTCGGCTCACAGCAACCTCTGCCTCCCGGGTTCAAGCAGTTCTGCCTCAGCCTACCAAGTAGCTGGCACTACACGTGTGTGCCACCACACCCAGCTAATTTTTGTATTTTTGGAGAGATGGGATTTCACCATGTTGGTTAGGCTGGTCTCGAACTTCTGACCTCGTGATACACCCACCTTGGCCTCCCAAAGTGCTGGGATTACAGGCATGAGCCACTGTGCCCAGCCAAATTGAATTTTTATAGGCAAATAAGTGTTTTACATATGACAATGATTTAGTAGGAAGGAAACTAAAGAACAAGTTGGAAAACCCAGGTTAAAGTCCTCAGTTTGCACTTAACAGGCTATTTGTCCTTGAGTATGTTACTAACCAAGAGCTTTGTCTTCAGTGTTTATTTCTTTAACGTAAGGGATTTGAACTGGAAAACTTCTAAGTTCAACAAATGCATAGCCTGAATTTTTTGAACAATATTGATTTCAAATTTCTTGTGACTTTAATGTCTGTAAATAAAAAATGTCTCACATTCCAATATTTATGACTCTCTGCACCTTTGAGGTATTTTAGAAATCCCCCCCCACCTTTTTTTTTTTTTTTGCCCAGGCTAAAGTGCAATGGTACAATCTTGGCTCACTGCAACCTCCGCCTCCTGAGTTCAAGCGATTCTCCTGCCTCAGCCTCCTGAATAGCTGGGATGACAGGCACCTGCCACCACACCTAGCTAATTTTTTTCATTTTTACTAAAGACAGGGTTTCATCATGCTGGCCAGGCGGGTCTCAAACTCCCAACCTTAGGCAATCTGCCCCTCAAAGTATTGGGATTACAGGCATGAGCCAACGTGCCCAGCCATTTTTTTTGTTGTTGGTTGGTTGTTTTTTTGAGACAGAGTCTCGCTCTGTTGCCAGGCTGAAGTGCAGTGGCATGATCATGGCTCACTGTAACCTCCAACTCCTGGATTCAAACCACTCCTGCCTCAGCCTCCAAGTAGCTGGGATTACAGGGACTCGCCACCAGGCCTGGGTAATTTTTGTATTTTTAGTAGTGACGGGGTTTCACCCTCTTGGCAAGGCTGATTTCAAACTCATGATCTGCCCCTGCCTTGGCCTCCCAAAGTGCTAGGATTACAAGTGTGAGCCACTGCACCCAGTATGAAATCATTTTTTAAACCATGTGATTTGGTCTTGATTTGGAAAATACAATCCTACCGTATCTTATATTTATTATTTTCCCATTCTAAAATTATGTGATTCTAGGCTAAATCCAGAGCAACATCCCATTTCACATCCACTGTCATCCTTCTCAAGCTCAGGTTTCACCCACTTTTAACATTTAACTTTTCTACCAAAACTGTAATTATCTTCAAAACTATATAATTTATCTTTTCTAAAGTTAATATAAGTTAACTCACAGTGCTTAGACCAAAAAAAAAAAAAAAAAAGAACAGCTGGTTGAATGCTTTTTGTATGTTATATAATTGATAGAACCCTAACTATAATAGTGAGAGAGGGAAGGGTATAGAGTTTAAATAGTGATTTTTGTCAGAAAAACATGGGGAAATTATTTGTGGGGCTTAGTTACAGTTTTCCAGGGATTTGTCTTTATTTTCTCTGTGTTCCAGGTCTTGCCTGAAATTTAGAAGCCCCTTTCTTCCCCTTCCTTTCTGGTGCTGTCAGTAGTGGTGATCACCTCTGAGGAAGAAAAGCCCACTTCCCACTGACCATGGAGAACACTCAGCATCTCTGCTTGATTGTGACAGGGCAGATTTTGGATGGATCATGAAATGCTTCTAAAGTAGCCAAGAGTTAACTCTTCCAAACCTTTTTATATAGTAAGCATGTTACCCCCAAGGTAACTTACCCAGGGAATCAGCTACATAGTGGAATCACATTATTTACACATTTAGCTTATGCAAATTCAACTCTACCAAAAAAAAAAAAAGTACATGAGTGAGAGAAAAAAAATAACAATTTAAATAACACATGTTAAACTTTCCATTTCAGTAAGTCCTGGACAGTGGATGAAATCACATCTGAAACAGTTCATACTGGTGAAAGTTATAGAAAGAATGTGAGGATGATTTTTAAAGGTTTCCTAGTTGTTGATAAAGCATATTCAGGTCACTAGGCAAGTGGGTGGGAGAGTTTTTTTTTTGACCTTTACAGACGTTATTTTTTATTTTTTAAAATTTTTTATAGAGACAGGGTTTTTGCCGGGCGTGGTGGCTCACGCCTGTAATCCCAGCACTTTGGGAGGCCGAGGCGGGTGGATCACAAGGTCAAGAGATCAAGACCATCCTGATCAACATGGTGAAACCCCGTCTCTACTAAAAATACAAAAAATCAGCTGGGCATGGTGGCACGTGCCTGTAATCCCAGCTACTCAGGAAGCTGAGGCAGGAGAATTGCCTGAACCAGGAGGCAGAGGTTGCAGTAGGCCGAGATCGCGCTATTGCACTCCAGCCTGGGTAACAAGAGCGAAACTCCGTCTCAAAAAAAAAAAAAAAAAAAAGAGAGAGACAGGGTTTGACCATGTTGGCCAGTCTGGTCTTGAACTCCTGACCTCGTGATCCACCTGCCTCGGCCTCCCAAAGTGCTGGGATTACAGGGGTGAGCCACCACACCTGGCCTACAGGGGTTATTAAAGATTGTTAAGGAGCTAACCTTAAGAATTAAAGAAACTAATAAAATCTCCTACAAAGAATGACATGATGAGAACAAGTTGAAATTTTTATAAATTTACTAAGTGCTTGAAGGAATGAAACACCTGGTTAAATTTCTGAGTGTTCTTTATGGATTTTCAGTGGTTATTTATACCATGTACTATTTCCCCTTAATAACCAGTCCCCTAAGTAAGATGCTGCCTTACCAAGTGGAAATTATACTGATTTTGTTTGACAGTATAAATTGAGTAAGATAATCAGTAATTTCATTAAGAAGCTGGTTTGTGGCTGATATTTCCATTTTTTTAAAAAAACGTGGGCATGTGCTGCTTTCTCTTGGAAGTCTTTGAATTTAAAATCTAGATTCTGTAATGAAATGAATATTTCTTGACCATCCTAGTAATTTGTACCATCATTTTACTTTATTACTATGATCTTTTTCCATGAATGTCCACTGCTTTGCCAATTACTACCTTGAGGTTATATAATTACCAAATAAAAAGCCATAATTGGCTGAATTGCTTTTTAAAAATATATTGTTTTAGTAGTACCTATCATGTGAAGTATATTTTTCTTCTGTGATCATACAGGTGAACATGATTAAAGATGATGGGACAGTTATTCATTTCAACAATCCCAAAGTCCAAGCTTCCCTTTCTGCTAACACCTTTGCAATTACTGGTCATGCAGAAGCCAAACCAATCACAGAAATGCTTCCTGGAATATTAAGTCAGCTTGGTGCTGACAGCTTAACAAGCCTTAGGAAGTTAGCTGAACAGTTCCCACGGCAAGGTAGGTATTTCAATTTAGTAAATCTTTCTCTCCCCACCTTACTTAAAGAACCTAATCATTTAAAAGATGTCCCATCTTAAATTGGATTTGCCTGTATGTAATTATTTACTTTCTATAAAGTTATTTCTGTGCTTCATAAAATTTTGAGTTTGTGTCTTCAATGATTATGTAGTGTGACACATAGAATATTCAAAAACATTTTGGTAGTAATATAGTAAGTTGAGAGATAATTACCCAAAAGGATAGTGCCAGGATCTGTAGGCCATAATTTTATTTTATTTTACTTATTTTTGAGACAGAGTCTCACTCTATCTTATAGGCTGAAGTGCAGTGGTGCGATCTCAGCTCGCTGCAACCTCCGCCTCCTGGGTTCAAGCAATTTTTGTGCCTCAGCCTCACAAGTAGCAGGGACTACAGGTGCACACCACCACACCCAGTTAATTTTTGTATTTTTCATAGAGACAGAGTTTCGCCATGTTGGCCAGGCTGGTCTTGAACTCCTGGCCTCAAGTGATCCACCTTTCCTGGCCTCCCAAAGTGCTAGGATTTCAGGCATGAGCCACCATGCCTGGCCCATAATTTTAAATAGTTAATTTGATACTCACTGCTAATTAATGACAATCAGAAAATACTGTTGTGTGGCTGGTCGCAGTGGGTCACTCCTGCAATCTCAGCACTCTGTGATGCTGAGAATGGAGGATTGCTTGAGGCCAGGAGCTCAAGACCAGCCTGGACAACATGGTGAGACTCTGTCTGTACTAAAAATACAAAAATTAGCCAGGTGTGGTGGCGCACGCCTGTAGTATTAAACACTCAGGAGGCTGAGGCAGGAAGATCACTTGAGGTCAGGAGTTTGAAACCAGCCTGGCCGACATGGTGAAACCCCATCTCTACTAAAAATACAAAAATTAGCTGGGTGTGGTGGTGCACACCTATAGTCTCAGCTACTTGGGAGGCTGAGGCAGGAGAATTGCTTGAACCTGGGAGCGGAGGCTAGAATGAGCCGAGATCGCACCACTACACTCCAGCCTGGGCAACAGAGTGAGACCCTGTCTCAAAAACTTAAATAAATAAATAAAATAAATTTTGTGTTCACCACACATTAAAATTGCCAGCTGTATCAGTATATATCTAAATTAAAGTTTGATTTCTAGTGTTACTCAAGCAAAAAAATATGAATGGCATTTTAGATGGACAATATTTAGCTTTTTCTGAGCAACTGTATGTGATTTATACAGGAAAAAAGGGGTAAACATTGTAAGTGTTCTTTAAGATCTTTATTCTCAATGACTAATATTAAAATAAACTTTTTGTAGTCTTAGACAGTAAAGCACCAAAACCAGAAGACATTGATGAGGAGGATGATGATGTTCCAGGTAAGTGGCATTTCCTCAGACTTAAGATTTTAAGCATCCTGTTTATCTCCTTTTAGTCACTGCATAGATGACTTTTAGGTTTGTGTTGATTGTAAGCTCATGAATTTAAATTGATTCACAATAAAATGGATAGGATCTAATGAAAAAGAATGAAAGCCCCCACCTTAGAACTTAAAATCAGAAATTGTCACACAAAACTCTGCTGCCTGGATTTATTAAATTGAAATCACTGTGATTATAAATTTGCATAGCTATTGTTATAACATTTCTGTGTGAAGTATAATTGACATATGAAAATGCTATTCACCTCAGCAGTTTGCATAGACAAAAAAAAGATGAACATTTCCTTAGGATTACTGTTCTAAGCAGATAATTAGATCATTATTAGTAAAATGCCACCAGTTCATTTCTGCCTCCTTATGTTTTCAGGCTGATTCTAGTTGTACTAATTTTATTTTTATTGGGGTTAGAAGTTAGGAGTTCCATTTACCTTTTTCCTTTTTTGTATTGTTTGATTCATATGTTTTTTTCTTTTTCAGATCTTGTAGAAAATTTTGATGAGGCATCAAAGAATGAAGCTAACTAAAATTTTGGTCTTTGGAAGCTGGCATGGACTAGATTTAACAAATCAGCTATGTTGTTCCAAAGTTTCACAGACACGGAGAACATCACCTGTTACTAGTTACTAGTTCAGTAATATAAATATTTTGTATATTAATAATGCTGTTTGTTCAGCAATTTTTGGTCATTTGATTTTGCATTTTGCACTTCCTCCCAGGATATTTTTTTTTGGTCAAAATATGAAGTATTGGTGCAGTTTGAGGGTGTTTTGGTTTTTGATTCCTGTTTTTTTTGTTTGTTTGTTTGGGGTATTTTTGGTGTATGTATGTTTATGTATGTGTGTGGGTATGTGTGTACACAGTGGAGAGCAAATTGGAAAACAGTACTATTTATCCTACTCCCTCCCCAGCAGAAATAAAAAAAATCTTTACATTTGTTACTTTTCTTTTTCTCCCATAAGACACAGAATTAATGGAAAATGAGTATCTTGGATTTCAGATCTGAAGAGATTTTTACCATTAGTGGTTTGATTTTAATTTGCTTGATTAACTATCATATTTTTCATACACTTCTCTGGGATTAAAATGTCTTGAGGTATTTTGCCACTGGCTTCATGCTGAAGTAATGGGTAACATATCTTTGGTATGGTTGACTTAGATTCACTTACCTAGTCAGGCCTAGAATAACTTCTTTTACTAGCTTGCTTCCTGAATGCCTTTTTTCCCTCTCCTTTTGGTCTCCAAATGGCCTGTTCAGCCCTTGGTAATATTCTTCCTCATCTTCCACCTAGCTTGAGAAGGATGTTCTCCATATAGAGTTAAGCAAATGCCTAATCACTCCTTTTGTAAAATTTTGTTCCCTCATCTTGAGGAACAACAGCTTCATCTTTAACATTTTATTTCTCCCTGATTTTACAGTTTGGTAGATTTCTTTTCTTTTCTTTTTTCTTGTTGCCCAGGCTGGAGTGCAATGGCGCAATCTCAGTTCACTGCAACCTTCACCTCCTGGGTTCAAGCAATTCTCCTGCCTCAGCCTCCTGAGTAGCTGTGATTACAGGCATGTGCCACCACACCTGGCTAATTTTTGTATTTTTAGTGTTTCTCCATGTTGGTCAGGCTGTTCTTGAACTCCTGACCTCAGGTAATCCACCTGCCTCGGCCTCCCAAAGTGCTGGGATTACAGGTGTCAGCCACCGCACCCGGCCTACAGTTTGGTAGATTTCAAACTAGAATAGCTAGCATGTGCTTGCTAAATAATTTTATCCCAGCCTTATCCTATATCCTAGCTGTTCTTAATAGCAGCTACAACAATGCCTCTTTTTCAGCAAGGTCAAAATTGGGAATGTCCTTTTGAATGAGAAGAAAATAGGCCATAGACTCATCCCCCAGCACAAATGGGCATTCTATGAAATGGTACTGGCCCGAGGAGGATTTCCTCAGCCACTCTCCTACTCTTGGCCTTGAACCTACCTCTGGGTTGGATCTTATTGTAGCTGCTTACTATACCCTCCTGCATGCTTAGAATAATGCTTTGGGGGGAGCACTGGTAAAACACGGTATTTATTTATTTTTTTTTTTACCTCCTTTAAGAGGACTTGGAGGTAAGTTGCATTCATTCACTCAAGTTTCCCTTTGCTGTCTAATAAAAGCTTGTGTTTTGCTATACCAGCATTTGTTATAACCAATATTTAAGGATAAAATTTAGAAAATACATCATTTCCTGGCCCATCATCACACTAATACAGCTTCACCTTGCAGCTACCAACTTTTGTGTCAAGCTAGATATCTTTATTTGATATCTAACGTGCAAAACCAACAATATATTAAGAGATCTATAGACATGAAGGCAAAGCTCTTGTATTTTTTTCATCCAAACACCTCAATTTATTTTATACACTTGTTCATTTTTCCTGTTATGTTTTATACAATATATGGACTTAACAGAATAAAATAACAGTAATAAAATAACAGATACAAAAGAGGAGAATATTTCCTCTTGTGCTTCTCTTGTTGTGTACAGAATTTCCTTTTATGTAATTCCTCTACTCTCCACCTTTAAATGAATATTAGTGCAGTAATTGTTTGAAATAATGTCTCATCCATTGTTAGATCAGTAGCTCTACATGGTCTACATAGTCCGGAATTATTTCTCTAATTGTCCCAAAGGGGACACATTGTAGAGGCAGAGAGAGTTAGGGAGACTGCTTCAAGTGGTTAGGGACAGATAAATAATGGGTGGTATAGCACATGAACGAAAACACACACTTGGAAGCTAGGAGACTTGTATCCGAATCAAGATTCTGGCATTAATTATGCAATCCTGGACAGGTCATCTAACTACTCTGAAATTTATCATCAGTCAAATGGGATGTTTTGTTTGTTTTTGTTGTTGTTGTTTCTGAGAGATTTTCACTCTTGTTGTCCAGACTGGAGTGCAATGTTGCAGTCTCAGCTCACTGCAACCTCTGCCTCCCAGGTTCAAGCAGTTCTCCTGTCTCAGTCTCCAGAGTAGCTGGGACTACAGGCACCCGCCACCACACCCAGCTAATTTTTATATTTTTAGTTGGGGCGGGGCTTCACCATATTGGCCAGGCTGGTCTTGAACTCCTAACCTCAGGTGATCCATCCACCTCAGCCTCCCAAAGTGCTAGGATTACAGGCACTAGCCACAGCACCCAGCCCAAATGAGATGTTTCTAAGTCAGAAGTTTCTTCTGCTTCTGCAGTTCTGTGAATCTCATTTGAAATTTTTCAAGGAAGGGATTTTATTTGTTCAGAGATGTCTTTATTAATACCCATAAAATGTTTGTGTATTTGCTTCTTCCTTTTCTGCTTTTGACCACATTTTAGCTACTTATCTAAAGGATCTCTGGCCAGTATTCCCTTTTATCTTATTGATAACAATTCTTAGTGGCTGGCCTCTTTTGCATATAATGAGCCAATACTCTTTTTTGTTCTATATTTTTGTATCTTCCCCTTTCCTGAACAAAGCACAGAGTCTCAAAGAAATCCTCTCCACAAAGACATGTTCCTCCCTCCAGTGTGGGTAGACAGGGTAAGAGAGTTTGGGTGAGCCGGGCGCGGTGGCTGAAGCCTGTAATCCCAGCACTTTGGGAGGCCAAGGCGGGTGGATCACGAGGTCAAGAGATCGAGACCATCCTGGTCAACATGGTGAAACCCCATCTCTACTAAAAATACAAAAAATTAGCTGGGCATGGTGGCACGTGCCTGTAATCCCAGCTACTCAGGAAGTTGAGGCAGGAGAATTGCCTGAACCCAGGAGGCGGAGGTTGCAGTGAGCTGAGATCGCGCCATTGCACTCCAGCCTGGGTAACAAGAGTGAAACTCCATCTCAAAAACAAAAAAAAAGAGTTTGGGTGAAACTTTTGTTAATTGTAGTGTTCTTGGCATAAATATGAATTATATATATATATATATATATATATATATATATATTTAAAGAACTAGTTGTTAAATATGTGCTTCTAAGATAACAATGATAAAAGCATTTTGTGGGGGAAATTGACAAAGTTTTGGGATGATTCAAGAAATGTCGGCCGGAAGCGGTGGCTCATGCTTGTAATCTCAGCACTCTGGGAGGCCAAGGCGGGCAGATCACCTGAGGTTGGGAGTTCAAGACCAGCCTGACCAACATGGTGAAACCCCATCTTTAAAATAAAGATTTTTAAATTTTTTTTTTTTTTAAAGTAAAATTTTTTCTTGGGCTGGGCATGGTGGCTCACACCGGTAATCCAAGCACTTTGGAGGCTAAGGCAGACAGATCACCTGAGGTTGGGAGTTCATGACTAGCCTGACCAACATGGTGAAACCCTGTCTTTTAAAAAAAAAAAATGTCTACAGAAAAATTGATGTATGATCTTAATTTTTGTTAGTCCTTTGAGGTTTTTTTGTAAAGCTTCTCATCTGTTTTGGACAAGTCTAAAGTAAATGGCTGGGCTCTTCTATCAATTTTACCTTTATTTTTCCAATTAAGTAATGGTTTAAGAATATATCAAGCACCTTAATTTGTTAAGTAGCTGGTGCTTACAGGATTCCACTAAATTCACTCTAATAAGCCTATGAAGTTCTTACGAAAAACCCATATCTGAGATGTGTTGGTTTCTTGTTTTAATTCAGTGTTTAACCCTACATACCCATAAATAAGATACCATGGTAAGAGATGGTATGGTATAGTGGGAAAGGCACAAGTTTTTAGATAGAGATCAATTCTGCTGTGTACCATTATGTTGTAACCTTTCTGACAGAACTGCTGCAGTGCACAACTTCGGGAGCCATCACTTATTTTTGTTGTGTTCCAGAAGGTGCCATTTTCATAGACTACAATGTTAATAGTGCCCCCCATTAATAATGAAATGATAGTCTTGCTCTCTGAGCCTCAGTTTTATCTGTAAAATGGTATCTATAAGAGTCAAATGATATCTTAGAATCACCTAAATGGTTAAGGTGAAGGTGAAAGATGATTGTATTATCTCCTAAGCTATGGCTTAGGAAATTTTCCAAAGCTCGTGGTTCTAGGCACAGAAAGGCTCCAATTCTACACTGCATTTCAACCTGTGTAGAACAACACTCCAGTTCAGCCTGTATTGCAAAACATAGAGTTTGCCTAGATTATTACAGCTTTCTTAATAGTTTTGTTTATGATTCATTCTCTCCAGCCCACTACACAGGAGCCAGCTACCTAAATTTTATATCTGAACACGTCCTTACATTTACTTCCAACCTACTATTCTTTTGCCATAGTAGAGTATTAAGATTATTTGATTTTCTTTTTGTTTCTCATAGTGCCTGATGTGTAGTCTATTCAACATCATCATATCTAATGTTTTTTGACTACTTACTATTGAATACAAAGTTACTTAATTCTCAATCTGGTGGGGCAGATATTATAATCCTTATCTTTTGTTTTTTTTTTTTGTTTTTGTTTTTGAGATGGAGTCTCTGTCACCCAGGCTGGAGTACAGTGGCACAATCTCAGCTCACTGCAACCTCCACCTCCCGGGTTCAAGCCATTCTTTTGCCTCAGCCTCCCAAGTAGTTGGGGTTACAGGCACCCACCACCACACCCAGCTAATGTTTGTATTTTTAGTAGAGATGGGGTTTCACCATGTTGGCCAGGCTGGTCTTGAACTCCTGACCTCAAAGTGATATGCCCACCTCAGCCTCCCAAAGTGCTGGGATTACAGGCATGAGCCACTGTGCCGGGTCTATAATCCCTATCTTAGAGAAGAACAAAAAAATAGTTTAGGGAAATTGCCAAAAGGCCAAACAACTAATTGGTGAGGGAACCAAGATTCTAATCAAAAGCTATCAAATCCCAGAGTCTAAACTCATCACCCCATACCACTCGACAAATATTTATCGAAGTGAAAATTATGTTTACATAGTCTCTCCAGTCAGATATTCTCACCAATTAATAT